ATTATAATTAAAATGAAGAACTTCAATAATTTGCACTAATCAAAGGTCTGAAAGTAAGAAAGTAGGCAAGAGAGAGTGGACTGTTGGGCTAAAGCAGACGAGAGTAGGGACCACAGTATAGGGTCTTAACTACCAGACAAAGGAATTGGATTTAAATCCACTGACAGTAGGAAGCCACTGAATATTTTTGTTTTTTGGGTTTGTTTGTTTTTTTTAAGGAATGTTTGACATCTTGTTTGCCTTCTCATTATAGTCAGGACTATATCTCATCCCATCACTAAACTCCTTGAGGGTAGACACCATATCCTAACTTTGTATTTCCCACAGTGACTATCACAGTGCTTGAAACATAATAAGTGCTCCAGCCCAGGCGTGGTGGTTCATGCCTGTAATAACAGCACTCTGGGAAGCCGAGGCCATACTCACAATTCTTAGTCCCATGTCCTCATAAAAGTGGTTGTCATAGCAACTGGAGGTGGGGTCCCAGGCCCAAGGGTGTTAAGCCCTCCTTAAGCCTCTGAAGGATGTGAGGGGGCAGGAAATAGAGAACTCATTCATTCACTCTCCCCACCAGAGCATTAATATATTCATGAAGGATCATCTTCCATGACCCCAATACCTCCCACCAGCCCCCACTAACATTAGGGATCAAATTTCAATAAGAGATTTGGAGTAGACAAACATCCAAACTATAGCAATCTCAATAGACATCAAGACATGGCGGATACAGATTCCAAAATCCACTTTGGAATCCTCGTGTGCTGGGGAGAAATTTGGCAAGAAACAGAAAATAATCCACCATCAACTTGGAGAGGCCAGGTCTGTCTGAGATTTTCAAGTGTTCAAGGACTTAGAACGGGCCTTCAGGGTCTGTTCCAAGAGTGTGAGCTCTATTCGAGCCTTCTCCACTACCCACCCTTTCTCTTTCTATCCTCTCAGAAGCCAAGGTTCTATCTTCCATACATTTTTCTCTCCAAGCTCTTCCAGGAGAGCTCATTTGGTTTAATCCAAATACATTTATTAATTAAATGCAATGCTGTAATACATGATCCTAGGTTTGTTTTTGAAAGTCATAAAGGGTATTTGGGGAAAACTGGATATGGACTATGTATCAAAAATAGATATAAATCAGTGTTAAACTTTCTGGGTATGACAATGTTATTGTGGAGACTTATCCTTGGAGGACTTATCCTTGTTCCTGGAGATACAAGATGGTATATTAGGAGTGAAGTGTCATGACGTGAACTTAGTCTCACATGGTTCAAAAAATGTATAGATAAATGTGAATACAGTCAGCCCTTTGTATCTGTGGGTTCTGCATCTGTGGATTCAACCAACTGTGGATCAAATACGGTATACTGATTGTTCCAGGCTACAAACTGTACTGTACTGAATCTGTAGGCAACTGTAGCACCATGGTAAGTATTTGTGTATCTAACATAGAAAGGTACACTGAAAATATGGTATTATAATCTTTTTTTTTTTTTTTTGAGACAGAGTCTCGCTTTGTTATCCAGGCTAGAGTGAGTGCGTGGCGTCAGCCTAGCTCACAGCAACCTCAAACTCCTGGGCTCAAGCAATCCTCCTGCCTCAGCCTCCCACGTAGCTGGACTACAGCATGTGCCACCATGCCCGGCTAATTTTTTATATATATATCAGTTGGCCAATTAATTCTTTCTATTATAGTAGAGACGGGGTCTCGCTCTGCTCAGGCTGGTTTTGAACTCCTGACTTTGAGCAATCCGCCCGCCTCGGCCTCCCAAATCTTTTTTTTTTTGAGACAGAGTCTCACTCTGTTGCCCGAGCTAGAGTGCTGTAGCGTCAGCCTAGCTCACAGCAACCTCAAAGTCCTGGGCTCAAGTCAAGCAATCCTTCTGCCTCAGCCTCCTGAGTAGCTGGGACTACAAACATGCACCACCATGCCCAGCTAATTTTTCTATATATTTTTGTTGGCAATTAATTGTTTCTATTTTTAGTAGAGATGGGGTCTCGCTCTTGCTCAGGCTGGTCTCGAACTCGTGACCTCAAGCGATCCGACCGCCTCGGCCTTCCAGAGTGCTAGGATTACAGGCGTGAGCCACCACGCCTGGCCTATGATATTATAATCTTATGGGACCACCATTATATATGTGGTCTATTGTTGACTGAAACTTTATGTGATGCATGACTTGTATAGACTTATATTAATTTATATACCATAAAAGCAAATGGGCAAAATGTTAGCAACTGGTGGCCGGGCGCAGTGGCTCAAGCCTGTAATCCTAGCACTCTGGGAGGCCGAGGCGGCGGATTGCTCGAGGTCAGGAGTTCGAAACCAGCCTGAGCAAGAGCAAGACCCCGTCTCTACTATAAATAGAAAGAAATTAATTGGCCAACTTATATATATATAAAAAAAAAAAATTTAGCCAGGCATGGTGGCGCATGCCTGTAGTCCCAGCTACTCGGGAGGCTGAGGCAGAAGGATAGCTTGAGCCCAGGAGTTTGAGGTTGCTGTGAGCTAGGCTGACATCATGGCACTCACTCTAGCCTGGGCAACAAGCGAGACTCTGTCTCAAAAAAAAAAAAATGTTAGCAACTGGTGAATCTAGGTAAAAGGCATACAGGTGTTAACTGAACCATTCTTTCAAGATTCTACAGGTTTGAAGTTTTTTAAAATAAAATTGTGCGGAGGGGGCATTTATTGAGCACTTACTGTATGCTAGGCACTGTTCTGGGCTCCAGAACCTGGCTGCCTTTTCGAGCCAAGCCTTACCATTGCATGGTCAGCGCAGTGCTTTTCTTCTTCCACCACGGCTCAGTTCTGCTCAATGACTACTTATGAGGAAGCCACTCAACAAGCACCAGGTGTGTCGCTGCCCTTCAGGTGCTCGCAATCCAGGGAGAGACAGACTTAGGACAAGTTGTCTGACTACAGTGTGGGAGATACAGGAGCACAGATCAGGAGATCACCACACTGCCAATATCCCTAAAAGGTGACTAGGTGGGCACAGCTCATTATATGAAAGAAAACAGCCCCTTGGTAGCTGGACATTAACCCACACGACTCCTGGCCTGGGGAACAGGCTGTATTAATATATGTATTCCTTCTTCTAAAATCATCCTCTAGAGTCAGCCTGGAGGAGATACCTGGAAGTCCCTTTCCACAGAGGACCGTTCCCTTTTCCCTATCTACTTTGTCATTCAGCTGCTGCCTTTCTCGGTGAGGTGGGAGAGATCACTGTTTCTGGCTCCTTCCTCGGGACCTCATAGTGAATCAAGCCATTCCTTTTTCATAGCGTGGCAGCTACAAACCAACAAACCACGCTCTCACTCTCACGAACTGCCTCTCAGAGTGCAGGATTATGTGCTCTTGGGCTAAAACAGCTCCTTGTTACTGCAGATGAGGGTGGTAAGGAACACAAGGGTGACATGTCTTCGTATCACTGCTACTTTTGGATCTCTTTGAGCCCTCAAAAGGGGAGTTCAACTTCTTTGCCCTTAAATGAGTTGGGAAACTATGTTTAAGGGGGAACAAGGGCCCCCTGTGATTTACACAACCAGGAGCATTTGCCACAAGAAAGGCATCTTCCCTGGGTTCAGACATTCAGTGGGGTCAGTCAAGATTTGGAGATCTCCAGCCTGAGCAAGAGCGAGACCCCATCTCTACTAAAAATAGAAAGAGGCCGGCCGGTGGCTCACGCCATAATCCTAGCACTCTGGAGGCCGAGGCGGGATCGCTAAGCAGGAGCTGTAACCAGCCTGAGCAAGAGTGAGACCCTGTCTTACTAAAATAGAAAGAAATTAATTGGCCAACTAAAATATATAGATGGTTGCAATATATATATATATAGAGAGAGAGAGAGGCCGGCCCGGTGGCTCATGCCTATAATACTAGCACTCCAGGAGGCCGAGGCGGGGAGTTGCTCAAGGTCAGGAGTGGAAACCAACCTGAGCAAGAGCGAGACCCCGTCTCTACTAGAATAGAAAGAATTAATTGGCCAACTAATATATAAGAAAATTAGCCGGCATGGGGACACATGCCTGTAGTCCCAGCTACTCGGGAGGCTGAGGCAGCAGGATTGCTTGAGCCCAGGAGTCTGAGGTTGCTGTGAGCTAGGCTGACGCCATGACACTCACTTTAGCCTGGGCAACAAAGTGAGACTCTGTCTCAAATAAATAAATAAAAATAAAAACATATATATAGAGAAAAAATTAGCCGGCCATGGTGGCGCGTGCCTATGGTCTCAGTTACTCGGGAGGCTGAGGCAGTAGGATCTCTTGAGCTCAGGAGTTTGAAGTTGCTGTGAGTTAGGCTGATGTTACAGCACTCACTCTAGCCTGGGCAACAAAGTGAGACTCTGTCTCAAAAAAAAAAAAAAAAAAGAAGAATTAGCTGGACAACTAAAAATATATAGAAAAAAAATTAGCTGGGTATGTGGCACATGCCTATAATCCCAGCTGCTCCGGAGGTTGAGGCAGGATTACTTGAACCTAGGAGTTGGAGGTTGCTGTGAGCTAGGCTGATGCACAAAAAAAAAATTGGGGGCCCTGGCCTTAAACTTTGTTGCTAGGGCAACCACAATCTTAAAAATGGCTTCTAAGTTCACTCTGGCCAAATAGTTTTTCTTCTTTTCTCATGGTTTGCTATAACTAAATGCTCAAAAGCTTTGCCTTAGAGCTGAGAGTTACTAGGAAGAAAATGAAACAATTCAAGTGGAAAACCTACAACATTAGGCCTAAAAGTTTCCCCCGTTAGTTACCTCAAGATTCTTGCATTTAAGGTTGTTTTTCACTTTCTTGGAGTTCTAGGCCTCAAGGGTTGAAAAAGCCTTCTCACACTGCTCAATGTCTCACCCATTCATACACTAGCCCCATGTCCTGAAGACAGAACTTCATACAGAGTGAGAAAGCAGGAGATGTTCAGAGAGGCAAGAGTAGAAGGGGAGAGAAAGTGAATACACCTAGATAAAAAAAATATCAAGAAAGGGAGAAACCTGGCATCATCAGGCTCATACATGCCATTCACAAAAATAAAATTTGCTTTATTTTTAAGCTGAAGGATTACACTCTGTTATCCTGGCTTCTGTCCAGATCTTTCCTGGGAGCCTCTTAACACTCTGGACCATCACCATTAATGGAGCTTGTGACAGACGATCTTACTCTGGCTCTTGCTTCCTTCAGTGTCTGACGCCTTAGTTTCCTCCACTGACTTCTGCATCCTGGGGCAGCAGCTGGAAAAGTATTGACAAAATGTGGCCAAACTCCCACAGGACCACTTGGCCTCACTGGTGCTGGATAAGCTCGAGCTCAAGCTCAAGCTACTTTCCAAGATGCCCAACTGTTCCCTGTGCTTCAGTTGGGGGATCCCTGAATGTGGACGGTGCCAAGCTTTTGTCCTAGGTGATTGCAAAGAGGTAGGGGGCCCCTCTGCCTCATCCTCGTCCTCTTCATCTTCCTCTTTCACCTCATGTCTCCTCATCTGAAGAATGGAAGCCTTCTTCCGCTTCTGCCTCCTGGACTTAAGGAGGCTGGGATCTTCTTCCTTGGGGAATCCCAGAGCAAATAATGGAGTGTGCTCTCCACTGACCCATCCCATTACATACAGGACTTCATATCTGAAGTGGGGGAAGGAGAAGTGGGACTAAAGAAGGACTAAAATCAGAGGGCAAGCATAAACCAAGCACCCACCTGTGAGTACACAGCAGGCAGCATAGATTAAAAAGACTGTCCTGGCCCAGAAGAGACATTCACTTACAGTTATTAAAGAGAATTTAAAAAGCAGTATCTGCAAAGGATACACAGGCTATTCTGAATGCATTAGAAGAAAGCTCATTCTTTTGAAAGGATCCTATGCAAATATGTTGGATAAATAAAGACTCATTTTGGAAGATAAATAATCACCCTCTAATTTATCTGTTTCTAGAAATTCTGCTTGTTCATATTTAAAGGTGATGGATATGTTTATTATCTTCATTGTGGTGAAGATTTCATGAGTATAAACTTACCAAATTGTACACTTTAAATATGTACAATAAAGTGTTTTACATAGTAAAAAAAAAAAAAAAAAAAAAATAAATATGTACAGTTTATTGTGTCAATTAGAGCTCAATAACAAAAAAACATAGCTAGTATTTAAACCCTCTCTGAAATAGACAAATAAATTCATATATCTAGTATGTTTAACAGAAATATTAAAAGGATATCATGGAAGACTGATGAAAATCAAGTAGCTAATAGAGAGGTAGGTCTGTGTGTGAACTCTTGAGTCGGACAAACTGAACTCAGACTGGAAGCATCTCTGCTTTCTAATCATGTGATCTTGGGAGAGTTACTTAACCAGCCTGTGCCTCAGTATCTTCATCAGAAAAATGGGGATAATAATAGTACCTGGTTTATAGGGTTGTTATGAGGTTTAAATGGGATATAAATTCTTATAAAACAGCACACTCAATAAATGTAATCTGTACTATTATTGTTGGTATTTTGTGGGGGAAGAAGTAAATTTGAGCCATGTTTGGTAAGCCATGTTTGTTTGATACAAATTGGAAAGATGTAGAGAAGGCATAGAAGGTTGCCACAGGAGGTGTTAGTGAGCTAAAATGCCACATGGTGGTGGAGCAAAGGGTGCAAGCTTCAGAGGGATGGAGGCATGTGGGGTGGGACACTTACAGTGGTGAACTCCTGGCTCCCTTGGTAGCCTAAGTCATCACTGAAGCTGTAGACAGACGTAAAGGAAACATCAAAGTTGTTAGAGGAGGGATTTTCTTCTTCTGAAGCCTGGAGAGCTTCTTTGGACTCCTAAGGGAGAGAAGAAGGGAAGGTCGGTTATGAAAGGAACATTCTGAGCCAAGCAGAACTTCAGGAATCACACTGCCCTTGCCCCTGGCTGTGTCCTATATCCTGCCCTTTTACTTTGTGAGTTGTTAAAGACTTGCTCTCCATCTTCTTTATTAACATAAAGCTCTATAATCACTAATGCCTTGAGACTCTGGTATGTCCCTCCCTCTTTCACCACATACTCACAATTCTTTAGTCCCCATGTCCTCATAAAAGTGGTTGTCATAGCAACTGGAGGGTGGGGTCCCAGGCCCAAGGGTGTTAAGCCCTCCTTAAGCCCTCTGAAGGATGTGAGGGGGCAGGAAATAGAGAACTCATTCATTCACTCTCCCCACCAGAGCATTAATATATTCATGAAGGATCATCTTCCATGACCCAAATACCTCCCACCAGGCCCCACCACTAACATTAGGGATCAAATTTCAATAAGAGATTTGGAGTAGACAAACATCCAAACTATAGCAATCTCAATAGACATCAAGACATGGCGGATACAGATTCCAAAATCCACTTTGGAATCCTCGTGTGCTGGGGAGAAATTTGGCAAGAAACAGAAAATAATCCACCATCAACTTGGAGAGGCCAGGTCTGTCTGAGATTTTCAAGTGATTCAAGGACTTAGAACGGAGCCTTCAGGGTCTGTTCCAAGAGTGTGAGCTCTATTCGAGCCTTCTCCACTACCCACCCTTTCTCTTTCTATCCTCTCAGAAGCCAAGGTTCTATCTTCCATACATTTTTCTCTCCACTACCCACCCTTTCTCTTTCTATCCTCTCAGAAGCCAAGGTTCTATCTTCCATACATTTTTCTCTCCAAGCTCTTCCCAGGAGAGCTCATTTGGTTTAATCCAAATACATTTATTAATTAAATGCAATGCTGTAATACATGATCCTAGGTTTTGTTTTTGAAAGTCATAAAGGGTATTTTGGGGAAAACTGGATATGGACTATGTATCAAAAAATAGTACTAAATCAGTGTTAAACTTTCTGGGTATGACAATGTTATTGTGGAGACTTATCCTTGGAGGAGACTTATCCTTGTTCCTGGGAGATACAAGATGGAGTATATAGGAGTGAAGTGTCATGACGTGCAACTTAGTCTCACATGGTTCAAAAAATGTATAGATAAATGTGAATACAGTCAGCCCTTTGTATCTGTGGGTTCTGCATCTGTGGATTCAACCAACTGTGGATCAAAATACGGTATACTGATTGTTCCCAGGCTACAAACCTGTACTGTACTGAATACTGTAGGCAACTGTAGCACCATGGTAAGTATTTGTGTATCTAAACATAGAAAAGGTACACTGAAAATATGGTATTATAATCTTTTTTTTTGTTTTTTTTGAGACAGAGTCTCGCTTTGTTATCCAGGCTAGAGTGAGTGCCGTGGCATCAGCCTAGCTCACAGCAACCTCAAACTCCTGGGCTCAAGCAATCCTCCTGCCTCAGCCTTCCACGTAGCTGGGAGGTATTAATATGTATTCCATTTCTTCTAAAATCATCCTCTAGAGTCAGCCTGGAGGAGATACCTGGAAGTCCCTTTCCACAGAGGACCGTTCCCTTTTCCCTATCTACTTTGTCATTCAGCTGCTGCCTTTCTCGGTGAGGTGGGAGAGATCACTGTTTCTGGCTCCTTCCTCGGGACCTCATAGTGAATCAAGCCATTCCTTTTTCATAGCGTGGCAGCTACAAACCAACAAACCACGCTCTCACTCTCACGAACTGCCTCTCAGAGTGCAGGATTATGTGCTCTTGGGCTAAAACAGCTCCTTGTTACTGCAGATGAGGGTGGTAAGGAACACAAGGGTGACATGTCTTCGTATCACTGCTACTTTTGG